TAAAAATAAAAGATATAAATCTTATTGGGAAATATTAAAGACAAAGATAATTACAGTCTGCTTTGAGCAAAAGGAAAGACTCGAAAACACAATAAATTATAAGACTCCGAAAAGTTTCCAAGATCACTTATTCATTCTTTTTCAGCTCTCCCTAACACCTGTGAAGTCATGCATCTTTCAAAAGCAAGTTTCTTGGCTGTTTTCTGTGTGCTCAAAAGATAGTTATATACCTGTAAAACTTCACTCGCAGGTAACGGTATAGCAGTTCATGCTAAACAGCTTATTTTTTTTCCAAACAAAAGGTGCAAAATCTCGTTCATTTCACAAGAGGAGCATTTCCTAAATCCCACTTATCCTTTCTTTCAAGTTGACAGGAAAAGAAAATCTCACTAATGATTAGCATCTGCAGCACCACATCTCTCTACTTTAAAACTCAAAATAGATTTTCTTGTAATATGTTAAAGTTAGCTGCTGAGAACAAGTGTTTTTTCAGAAAGTGCAACGCTAGCATGACCCACTTAAAGTTCCTTCAGCCCCCGCTAACAAGGTCCCCTGCAACTAACGTTCTGCCGTCCTGCCCGCACTAAAATAGTCCTTCTCATTTGACTCTTTTTACGATAAAAGAGCAACGTAACTTGTTTACTAACCCGTCTGAAAAAAATTACACAAATACTTCACTAATTTACTGCAAAGATTTTTTGATCAAAAGAGCCCTATCACGCAACCCAGGAAACTAATCGACTTTTTTGCACAAAAACTAAAGAAATTTCAAAAATGATACACCATAAAAGAAGGTTACAATCATAAAGTAAAATTATGAGACAGAATGTTGAGCAAATCGTATGAAATACATTTCTTCACCTGTATCATTTACAAGACATAAGAAATAATTTTTTAATTAAATCAACAGAACATGCAACAATCAAAAACAACTTAAAAAATATAATCAAACCCTACTGACCCGAGCAGTACGATAGTACGACGAATTACTATCATTGAATGACTGTGTGTCAGCTGATGAAGCTGAGTGAGCGAACAAACAATTCAGCTGAGTGTTTTTAAAAGCTTCCTTAGTGCCAAGCTGTGATGACAAGCAACTTTTATCCAAGGTGTTCTCTTAAGAAATACGATTATGACATAAACTGACAAAAAAAAGTCAAAAAATAATCCTTAGAAACCGAACAAATAATTCAATTTATGTAAGTCGTACCATAACTTGAAGCAAAGCCTTCGTTTTCGTAAGCTCCTAAAACTGCATCTTCTGGATATTAATGACATATGATAGAGATGTAAAAAAGGACTAAACAGTTTTTTCTACGTTATCTTAAAAACACCAAAGTTGGGTAAGAAGTGTCAAGACTAGTATATTACTACCCAGTATCTAAGATAAGTCAAAATAATAATTAGTTATTGTAGAATTCTGATTACCATCAAGATAAGTCGCTGCTGTGTCACTTGAAAGAACTGCTTGTTCGGGAAACTCCATGTTGTTTGCTGGCAAAGCATCATTTAACGACTGAATAAGAAAAGATATGTCACTAGTAAAACACAAAAGACCGTTTAAGTACAATGGTTGAAAGAAAAAACTGAAAATTTTGAAAAATAAGTGGCCAGTGACATCTATACAAAATTCATTTTGTGCTCTAATATTAATAATAATTTTAATAATAATAAGTAGTTGAAACAAACAAGAAGCAATTACCGGGCTTTTTGACTGTTCCTTCCTCAATGATCTCAATACAGAAGGGCGGCCCTGCTTTTTTGTTGAGTGATTATCTGCAAAGTATTTGATACAGAAAACTGAAAACGTTCAGCAAAAAAAATTTTTCTTTTCATTTGAGATCTTCCTCCGTGAAAAGATGAATTTGATACCACTTTTATCAAATCGAATGCTTGCACTGCGGTCCGCACTGCCAGAACCGCTAGCGTTTGAGTCGATAGACGACTCAAAAGTTAAAGTTAATGCGTACGGAGTAAGCGAGCACGGATAAGGTTTTTCATCCTGAATTAATGGCAGGAAAATAATTTCGAATTAGACCAAAGAAACAATTTTGGCACAATCCATGAGAGCTAGTCATCAAACCAAGCTGAATAGAATGTAGCAATACTAGAATAGCTAGAACTTTTAAGGTTCAAACTCCTATCGACAACTTACTGAAACATAACCATTTTTTACTTAACGCTATGCTTGAAACCTGAAATATTTGCATTATTATAACTGCAATTACATTAAAAATAGTAAACTCTCTACCAAGTAATGAGAACTTTCTTGCAAGTTCTCTAGTTCAGGTAACAGTTCACTAAAGCTTGGCCTATCGTCAGGGTTGAATACCCAAGCTCGTTTTATAACCGCGAAGCTAAAAAACAATATTGAAAGTAGTAAGATCATAAGCATTATGACTGGAAATCCTAAGAACAACAAAAAGGAACATTCCTCGCAACCCTTAACCGTTATCTAGTTGAAAAATTGGTTACTAAAATAAATTTATTTTGGATGGATAAAATAGGCAGAGTTGAACTTCTACGCCACAACTAACAGCAAACAGCGAAGAAATTTGAAACATACATTTCATCCGGACATGCAGCTGGTTTTTCAAGAGTTACTCCCTCACCAATCAATGACCTGACCTGAAATAACTATTCGGTGGTTCTAAAGAAGTGTTTCATTCTTTGATAATACCTGGAACTGGTCCTTCCCCGCGTATGGCTGTTGTCCCAATGTGATTATTTCCCATAAAAGAACACCGAAAGACCAGACGTCAGTTTTCGATGTAAATGCACCGTCAGAACCACCGTTAATAATCTCAGGTGCTAGCCAGCGCAGTGGTAATAGTTCCTCTCCATTCAACCGGCAATATTCACCTTTATGCATGGTTCGTGCTAATCCAAAATCGGCTAAAATGTAACTTCTAGAGAATAATAAATGACAGACAGAGAAGTTAATCAATTAATTTGTCTTTTCCAATGACACGATCAGTGAGGGTGCAGTATAATATAACTGACGTATTGACACCGCACAAGTCGTTAAGTGAACTTTTGAACCAAGGTTAAAAAGGCAACTCTTAAAAATAATACGATACAAATAGGTGGTTTAAGCTAAAGCCTCATCATGTTTCTAAAAATTTTATAAAATTTTTTTCAAAAGGCAGGTGTATTAGAAGAACCAATACCAACCAATTTTAGTCGTTCTCGGTGAAAGGCGTGAAGAAATTAGGCAATTTCTTGCTGCTAAGTCACGATGGACAAACCGATTAGCTTCAAGATAAGTAGCGCCTCTGCCGACATCAACCATCATGGCGATTAATTCGCTCAAAGAAAGCTGAGATGGAAGAACTTCCGTAGGTCTACTGCAGAAGAGTTGATATGTGTAATGTTACATGGAGCATATTTCAAGCAGTACTCCAGAAATTAATAAAAGCAAAAAATTAATTGATATGTTTTTTTAAAAAGAAATTAGTAGCTCCACTGTTCATATCCACCAACCTCGATTTTAGAAAAGTCAACAAATCGCCTGCTTCCATCAGTTCCATAAGAAGGTACAAAGGTTCACTATCAATAGATATCCCCAAAAGTCTTACAATGTTTGGATGGTCGAAATTGCTGAAAATCCATTACTACTGTTATTACTAGTAGTGCTCAATATTGTACTGAAAAAAGAATAACGTGGCAATGAAAGCCTGATTAAAAGTTGAAAATTTAAGAAATGATAAGGCCTTGATATTATAGAGACGTGTCAATAATTTGAAAATATATGAGTAACGGTAAAACGATTGCTGCCGAAAAAATTACGCAAAAACAAACTCATGATAAAACAATTTTCATTGCAGAATGGTTTGGAAAAAAAAGCCTGCAAAACACTACTTACTGCATCGTAATTGCTTCTTGCAAAAATTTCTTGCGGTCCAGTTGACTACAGTCCTTTCGAAGAGCCTAAGAGAAGCAGAAAACTTTAATCAGCCCCGCTAAGAAAACTAATTGATGAACAACGACTATGGCACAGAATTTCATATCAAAGACCATTTATAAAAACGACGTACCTTAATAGCCACCAGCACACTTTTCTCTGGAGCGTGAGGCAGTCCACAAACTACTCCTTCAAATACTTCTCCAAAACTTCCAGTGCCAAGAATACTTTTTACATTAATGCAGCTCTTCTTGACCCGCGGTACACCTAAGTTGAAAAACGAATAATTCTTAAGTATCTCTGACCCAGCACTTAAAAAATTAGCTAAGTTAAAAAGAAAAACACTAATAAGAAGCCTTTATTAGACGAATATGTAACAGAAGCAAACAGATAGGTCCCATTATAGTTCAAAAGGAAAAAACCAACATTTAAGGTCACATGATAAATCTGCAGGAATTTCGAATGGCGTATCTAAATTGTTCATTTGCCTAAGACCGATTTGTAAACGTTTCATTTTTTTCAACTTCTTTCCATGTTCTCGGTAGTAAACTATAACAAATGAGAGAGTATATCAAATAGACTTTGTGAAGAAAGCGTAAATTCCTAATGTTACAAAAAGTACCCAAAAGTGCGACCAAAACACACGCAGCAAACAGCGATGCTATTACCATACATGCAGCTACAGCCCAAAGTGAATAAGGAAAGGAATGACTACCGTTTGCTAAAATAAAGCTAAGATTTAAAAAATCCAACTAGTCAACATCCACAAATAAAAAAAATCTGCTAACGTTGATGAGGTTTGGAATAAGCGTAATCTCCAAACCCCTCACTATTCGCGGCACGAATACGGAACTCCACATTGGAACCAAAGGAAGTAGACTGCAGAGGACGCCATTCCGAATCATTGAAACTAAGGCCTCTTTCAGCAATTTCCCACTCAGAGTCCTCACTTGGTCTTGAATATTTAGATTACATTGAGCTCAACAGTACCACCTTTTTGCATTTCACAAAGGAAAATCAGTAACCAAAAAAAGGTGTGGCCCAAATTACTTAAAATTTATAGAAAGCAGTTCAACAAGTTTTATCCACGTAGGACGCAACGGGACTGGTAACGTCATGTAAAAAAAAGTGATGAGCTTTCAATATAAAAAGTTAACCTATATTCAAGAGCGTAAGAAACGATATCTGATCCTCCATTACTTGCAGGAGCTGTCCACCTAACAAAGAAGCCTTCTTCATCATAAATTAATTCCAAGCTAGCGGGAGCACTAGGTGTGCCAGCTAAAAAGTCATCTTAGTCCATCACAACAAACGCCAGATAATACCGAACTGATCAAAAGTTATATGCTATCAGTCATGACTGAATTATAACAGAAAATTTCACAGTGCTTTGAGCTTGAGCTTCAAATCTGGCACAGCGTAAGACAGCCCGTGAAAAGTCAAAGATTATTGTCTTTGTCTATGAAATGAAAAAGAAATCTTACGCTTCGTCTTAATTTGTTGTGTAGTATGAAAATATCGTCCCGGAACAGAAATCATCCGACCTCCATACGAGTATGATTCTTTGTAATCAGCAGCGTAACGATATTCATAAACTGTCGCTGACCTGAGACGTTCAATAACTATAGTTGCCGGGTGCGACCACTCAAAAGAAGCGTCAGCAGGGCTTTTCCATTTTATCACCGAATTATTCTTAGAATGACTGACAGCAGATTTATCTTCTGCCTAAAAACAAAGTAATACTTGAAGTAATTCAACCGCAGAATTCCAAGACTCATTAATACTGTTGCGATCAAAAAATATATATATATATCCAAGAATTAGCAGTAAGATACTACAAGCTACAAGTGTGGATGCCTTGCTGCCTCGCTGCAAGATGTCGACAGAGCATGAAAACAAACAAATCAGTTTGAAATAACAAGTAAACAATTACTTAACAATCAGAAAAAACACTCACAACGCGATATTCAATCGAGATCCTAGCAGGTGAGCTCTCTGGCTCCAAAGATATCCAGTGTAGCGTTACAGAAGTGCTAGTAATATTTTCAGGCTTAACTGTGCCGGGAGTATCCTTTGTATGAACGGCTACTTCGCCCGAAATAGCTTCAGGATCTTCATACTGTGATTCAAGGTGAGACTGATGAATGGCCCTTACCTGGAATTGAAAAAGAAAAAAGCTGACAATGTAAACTAGTAACCAAGAATTACATACGGGGCAGAATAATTTGAAGAACATTGGGACCAGTCAATTTTCCTCATCTGAATATGATCAAGTTTCAAGTTTGTGTCGGCCTGATCAAATTTAAGAAAAAAACCAAACAAAAAAACGTCTTAAGAAGCAATAATTCCTTTCTGACATCCAAAAAAGTTGATAGTTCAGTGTAAGACCAAGTGGCTTTTTAATGCATCGATATCATTACAAACATATACCATAATCGCTCATTTGTAAAATTTGTCAGAGTAGTGTCGCAAAAAATGACAGAAGAGAGAATTCACGGCCGCGCAATTTCACGAAAAATAAGAGCCGGATACTTTTAGAACCAATCTTTAAAGCTGACCCAAAACTTATAATCTGTAGCAGGACGAAGATGCAGTAGTTTTGCAGAACAGGGGTTCGCGACGCATGAAACAACATCTGTCAGAGAATTTGCATATCCGCCAGAGACACTGTCATCAGCCTGTAAGGCGCCTATTGCTGCTGGCACACTTAACAATTCACTTGAATGACTTATCTGCAATGATTTCAAATATGAAAGACATTGGTCTTAAAAGAGCAAAAAATGTTTACAGAAAATTTGTTGCTTGTCTCGTACATCTATGGCAATAAAGTAGTATAATTCAAGGCAATTACAATTTAATATGTTTATTCTCAACAGGAGAAATAAAAAACGAAACCCGAAAGGAACGCGGTGGTAAAATTTTCAAATTCAAATAATATCAAAAAAAGTAAGTGTGACTGTTAGAAATTCCGGTACCCGATATCTGAGCTCGCTTAACGGCGCATTTGCTTTGGCAGGTAATTTCCAGAATACAACAACAGCATCGGGAGCGATGGCGACTGCTGCTGGTTCCATTGGAGCCGTAGGATACCCGTAACCAGTGATGAAAAGTTGCGTAACAGATGATTCAACGAGCGATGTGTAGCGATTGCGAAAAGCCACCGAAACCTCGTAGCTGAAAATGGCACTGTGGTATAAAATACCTACAAAAATAATTGAAAAACCAGATTTGTCAGCAACAATGTTTAAAATGACTCGGTTTCTTTATCCAACACGCCACTTTCAATGTGAGTTGTTGTAGCAATGGTCAAAGTGCTCGTTATTTTGTCTGAATCTTTGCGTTTAAAGCGAATTTCATATTGAGTTGGCGGTAATGAAATTGCCTATAAGCCATCAAATTTTAACAAAGTAGACGAATTTCAGATACCACGAGATATAAAACCTACTGGACATCCAATTAATGATACTGGTTCTGTTACATTCACCACAGCACCTGTCTTCAATTCATTCATTACCGAGAATTTTAACGCAGAGTTCTCGGGATATGCGAAACAGGAGCGATCTGGTCAAAAAAATATCAGTATTATAAAAAAATATCGCTATGCTAACCAACTACTACGTGAGATTATCCAAAGGTAAAGGACTTGCCAGGGTATGGCTGAGAAGACTGAGTGGCTATAAGTATTTGTTTCAGCGGTACACCAGGAACCTCTATTGGTTTAGAGTTCTTTGTATTTTCGTCATACTCGATAACTCCGGTTGCAGTAGTGAAAAGGTACCTAGCACCAAACACCGCAAAAGATAAGACTGCTTTAAGTTTCTTCTCTAGAACTTTATTTCATTGATTTTCTCGTTATTTTTCGTTCTGTACCTCTTTGAAGGAAAAAAGCAGTTACCTCCGAAAATGCTGTCATCAATATCAATCTTCTCACATGTCGATGACGCAAAATTTAAACGCGACAGCCCGTTCCATGTAAGTACGACAATTGAATCCAACGCAGCGCTATTCCAAACGAAGTTGCTCACCATTGCTGTTACAGTCTCCGTTTTAAGGCATTCAAATCTGAGTTAAACAACGAGTACATAGGTCCGAAACAGAGTTTGTACCACTTCATATTCGGGAATGATGAGACTATTAAATAAATAATTCTTTCTTACAAATAACCAAAAAATTCAAGGAATTAACTGCAATCCACAACAGAAACATCAAAACGATAAACTAAGAAGGAAATTGTAAGCAAAACTGATGATTAAACAGTAAAAAACTAATGCAATACCTTAGCGCAAGGTTCTCTTCTACTTTTTTGTTCAAAAATAGTGCAAACAGCGAGCCATTTTTGGTTAAAAGGTACGCAGTGCTAAAACCGAGTGATTTAATGAATGCAGTATTCATTAAGCAAATTCTGGTATCAGAAGAAACATGTAAAACGTCTTTTTGAATGCTTCTTTTAACTTTTAGACAGTAAGATGGTTTGAAAAAGAACATTAGTGTAAACTGTTTAACTTTACTTATTAAAAGGATCGTATAGCAGTTGTTTTGCGTCACCAACGGTTAAAGACAGGTTCATAACAGGGCGAGGAGTAAACACCGATGCAGTCTGAAAATCCGACTTATACTTGTGAATATCCAGGAATCAAAACCTTATTCTTGAAGAAAAAGGAACCGAATTTTCTATGACATCAAGGAAAAGTTGTAGAAGGTTGCCACCAGATATAAACAAAAGTCTGTTAGCCACCCAATCAGAAATGATCGCATCCACTTCGGCAACATTACCAGCGAGTGAAACCTGTACTGGTCGACTGATATTACAGAATAGTCCAAGACATTAAAAAACGATAATAGAGTGGCAAGTTTCAAAAAACAACAGTAACAACAAACTACTTTTTGGATCACATATTCTACATTGTTTGAGTCCAATCGCAGAAGGTATGGTTGAACAATGTCAGCATCGTTCCTCAACGCGTACAGGTTATTCCCTATGTAGGCAATTGCTTGCTGAGCAATCTGAAAATGAAGTATAAATGCGGTTAATCAGAAAAAGGATTAAATAACCTGTGAAAGAAGAAGACAAGTAAAAAGATAAGGAAACTTACGGCAGAACTAGAAGCTTGACGCTTTGCTAAATTATTCGAAGAAAATGATGAGTTACAAACTTGAACCAGGTTATTAGAAGAGTCCACTGCAAAGACGCGTATCAGCGGTCTTAAATCTGCAAAAAAATTTGGCTTCATAATTATTTTTCCGATAATATACCAATAGGTGATATTCGAAATATTAACTGTTAGAGTGATATTTTCCTGCTGCTTCTAGAAATTATTAAAAGAAATGAAATTAAGGCAGAGTACGAAAAGAATATTTTCTTGGTAAACCCCTGAAACACTAAAAAGAAAAAATGAACGTGGATTACGAAAAGCTTTACCCAGCAAGAGTTGCTTTCAAATAAGATAGTTTTTTGACCCATATGCGTGCAGGATGGGCACATTTAAAACTCCAGTTAAACTGCAGTGCACATCAACGAACCAAAAAAAGCCACTTATATTGTTGAAATATGACACAATAAAACTAAAAAAGCAGGGGTGGGAAGCAAATCACTCTAACGTTCTAAGGATGTCATGAAATATTACCTACCACTACTATCAATAGTAATTGGCTGCGAAAAAGTCACTAAGGTCAATTCTGTACGAGCTCCGACCACACAACTAACTCTCCCAGATTTAACATTAAAAGAGTATGTTCTTTCGACTGGTAGGATTTCAGTGGACCAACGCTCTTCTCCATCAACAGTGCAGTTAACAACGTAACCGCTTTTCTCCCCATTCCAGACTGATGGCTCATCCCAAAAGAGATCTATCAGCGCTCGAGCCCCATCCACAGTTTTCTGCAATGAACTACTGTCTTTAGCGTAAAAATGCTCATTTCAGTGCCCAAATAATCTTCCACAATTGTGCACGAGAGTCATCGCTAACCTGCTGAGTTGCAAAAACGCGCAGATTTTGCGGTGTTGTAGGCGGTTTTGTCGGTGCAATAAGACCTGTTTGATTTACTGAAACTATTGTCCAAGCGTTTATTGCATCAACTTTGATGTCGTAAACTTGTTTTGAAGCCCACGACCCCAAAATAAAAGGTGACAAGTAGAACTCCGGCTGAAGTGAATAATTGACAAATCTATCACCACCAAAATGATCTTTGAAAACAGCAACCTGCAAGTGTCGAGTAGTTGCTAAAAATGTTTCCAAAATACAGTGTATATGAACAAATTTCAGACAGAGAACTTTTAGTATCTGGCCTTCAATGTCAAAAACCTTGACAAAAACATTGTTAACCTTGAAAATTATTTTTTCGCCTGCAAGGTCAGAAGCAATTTCCCAGGATAGTCTATCACGTTTACTGCTGACATTTAAACGAGAAGAAGTAAACGTAATTGTATGACTTTCAGTGACGTTCTCGTCATGAACGAGGACAACTTTTTCGGCAATAAGGTTCAAATTTAATGACCCAAGTTTCTTGTCGCAAACGCCGATTTCGTTACTTTCAGTGACAAAAGCTAACTTTTCTTTAGCCACAAGCAGTTGCCTTATCCTAAAAAAACCCTTTCGTAATGGTGTTGAAAGCTGCCCAGGAATTCACAAAACACTTATTTAACCGGGAAGTTACTCTCAAGAATTAAGGTCAAATAAATTCAAAATCCGATTCGTAACAAACGAAACGATTAATGAATTTATCGGCAACCAAAATTTTGATCCCAGAACATTACTGATGCCGATTGCACTAGGCAAAAAAAACTTACGGTGGAAAATCGACCGAGGAGGAAATAAAATATGGCTTCCGCATATCTTGGTTGAAGCCAAACAAACTGATAGTGCTGTTTGCGTTCTGTATGAGAAAGAACACGTCACCAGTTTCATCATCTCCGCCTAAACCTACTACACTACCGCAGCTCCCTAATGAGTCGCAAGAATACAATCTAAACCTGGTCATATTTTGAGCAAAATTGAAAGAATACGGGAAAAAAAATAATTGTTAACCCTAATTATAATAGACCATTTCCACCTCAGCAAAACAAAAAAGAATAAACTAACACTTGTTCGAAACTTCCTGATAGCCTATAAGATGTGATTACATAATCTGAAGCCATAACAAGTAGAGCAAATCGAGGCAAAATGGTAAGGAACCGCGTTGTAACGGTCTCAAGAAAACGTGTTTTTCCCTCAACTTCACTGTACCGATAAATGCTGCTCTAAAAGTCAACAGTGCGACTTAATTAGAGAAAGATACATGCTACCGACATAATTTTTGAAAAGGTCCGCTTATTAAAGCGAGCAAAGGCAGGAGGCACTAGCCTCATTTTTTTCAGTGGTGTATAACGACTGTGTGGTCGGATCCAAAGCAAACTGTGTTGTTAGATCTGCGGGAAGAGGTGAAGCTAAAAAAGTAAGAACTCAGAAATACTTTATCCAATCAGATGAACTTAAAAATAACTTTTTACCAGCCGGGCTATCATAAATTTAAGAAGTTTAGACGTCGAACCGATGAAAAACTGTGTTCTGACCGTTGAAAAACAGTAACCGAGATTAATTAAACTTAGTACTTAAAGAGTAGTTTTCCAACAGAGTCCCGAGAATACTATATACAGTAAGGTTGCCATCCTTCCGATTGACCATCACAAAGGGCGGATCTGAAGTCTTGACTCAAATTATTTACATTTCTCGATGGGAAAGGAGTTTTACTCCGCAGTTACTTAACAAACCTTCCATTTAAGGAGTAATGGAAAAAAATGATACCACTGTCAGATTCAAAAGCACTATTGATAGCACTGGAAAGAGCGGAACAAACGCTGCAAATGCACGCCTGCACAGAAGCGTGATACTGAAGACCTGGCACAATGGGAAGTATTTGTGATGTACGATTTGATGACGCAAGTTTGGCATTACTTTGCTCCTCAGATTCACTCATTAAACCGTACTGATAGTAAACATTCCGCCACTCATATTCGTTTGCTTAAAAAACCCAATAAGCTACCAGTCGAATGTTCCAACAAAAGGCAATGTTGAATACCTTGAAATGGAAGAAGCGGAGGTGGTTTCCATGTAATCACAGCCAGATTACTTGAAGTTATTAATCCAATGCCATCAGGCGGTAAAACACTCAGAGGCAAACTACGATCCCTCATAAACGTGAAATCCACTACTCTTCCAGCAAACAAATACTGGTTTAGATGCACATTCTATAGAAATATTTTAGTGTTGTTATACTCCTCACATTTTTCAGCAAATCACCTTAGACCACAGCTGAGAAGTGTAAGCAAAATAAACCTTTCAAACAGCGCGATGTGGTAGCCCATAAAATAAGTTTTTACAATGATCACAGTTAAAATTAATTTAATGCTTAATACACCCAATTTGGTATCTGTAGATTATATTTATAATCCTAAACTCTTGACTAAGTAATATTAACATTTAGTGATTGTGTATGAAATGTAAATGACTATTATACTAATACAGTAAACTCTCATTATAAATGCGCTTAATAATCCAACCTCATTCTCTTGATCCCACTCTTCGCTGTAGAGGCAGTCTAACAAAGGCAATACACCACACGACGGTACTGTCCAGAACATCCGATTCTTCATAAAATGAAGTTTTTTAATCCCACTATATCTGCCATTTACTTCATAATTAGATCTTAAATCGGTGAGTGAACGATTGACTAAATTCATCCCGAAGAGAGTTCCATTTTTTGTAGCGACTGTAAGCTGCATATTTTCATAATCCACCTCCAAAGCGAAAGCACCACTAACACCTGCCAACTTCTCTGTCAACGGGGATACGACAACATCTGATGCGTTGTATGGGAATAACGGAGTCACAAAGATATCACCACTGTGAACAACGCAGTAAATATATCTGCAATATTACACTTATTTGAACAAAGTAACACACAAAATAATTAAGGTTTAGAGGATTGTAGGAACTCATGAAGCAAGGACGCTGAAAAAAATTTGTCAACTTTTATTGTAGTTGTAAAAAAAAAGTCTTCAAAAGAAGTATAGAAGAGTGTGTGGCGGAGGTTAAGATCGACTAAAGAGTTAATTCCAAAGAAAAATTTCAAATGACAACAAATATGCGATATCATAAGACAAGCATTTAATCATTTAAAAGCAAAGCATGGAAAGAAACTACGATTAACATCGGCAACTGTACCTCTTCACCAAACTTTTTTCTAAACCACCTAAAAAAGTGCGACCAGTCGACGCTAATCTCCTTTCCTCATGCTTACCGGGTTCCACTGATGCATAAAAACTTTTCCGTCAGCGTAATGCTTGTTGAAAACTCCGATCTCTTAGTTTGATTCAATTTTACTTTATCTTAATGCCATTAGGAGGACAAGAGTACAGAGGAGAAGCCGTGAGCGCACGTTTCGGTGCAAAAGTTGGCACTAGTATGTAGTCTTTAACGAAGCACCAAAGTTATTTTGTTGTCGACAACCAATTGTCGGAAATATCACTCTTAGCTTGAAAAGTCGTTTTTTCAGAAACTTCAAATACATTTTTCACGAGACCCTCAAAGTCTGGTTTTGAGATACTTCTTTCTAAACATTTAGTAGCTTTCAAATGCTATGAGAACAAAACCTTCTAGCGTCACCGAATAGAAGCAACTGTTACAGTGATTTCTCCACTAACTTCTTTGTGAAGCGCGAGGTACCCACCTTATGTAGTTTCTCAAAGATTGAACACACATTGAAAAAGGTTCTATTCGCTCTTTTGTTTTTTTTTTGTTGCGCACGGTATTTTATTAGTATTTTAGCAGTAATTACCAGTTCTGAGATTATATTTTCAGAGAAAAGACAAAGAAAGTAGTCTGGTGAATAAAGTTTCAACTGGTAGAGCAATTTAGGGAACGAATCGACTCTCTGCGCAGTTAAAAGAATGAAAGGAAAGACCTCACCGGACTGATGAAAATTTTTCTGCAGTATGTTGACTGTTTGTTCTGGGAAAAGTAAATCAGTCAAACGGTGGTAGGAAGTTTACTGAATTTTTACTTGGTTGTTGTCTTCAACGCGGAAAAGAATTTGTCATTTTAATTATGGGAAATAAAGCAGATATACCCATAAAAGATGAAAATGTACGTTTAAATTCTTTGTTTAGTATTAAAACCAATCTATTAAGATAATGCTTTGAGTCATCAGTAACTGAAAGGCTGTTCACATTCAAAATGCCTTACTAACATATCGTATTTTTCAATTATCTTGACTTCCTTAGCGTCTCAACTCTGCTTTGTAAAATGTCACTTGCAAAAATGTCGGTTATTTCTGCTTCAGAATTGGAAGGATATTTGGAAAAAAAGAGGAGATGATACAGAATACCTGCTTACGGGACCACGACAACAAGCATTAAAAAAGGCGAATATAAATTAAACTTTCAGTTTTATTGTACGTCTTCAGTTTTCTTCTGTTTTTGGCTTCTAAATCCACCTCTTTTCCAAGCTCAATATTAATCTTCTTTATTTTTTTAGACAGATATTTTTTTATTTACTATTTTAACATTATTTTCAAAAAAAACTTGTTATCAAAAAATATTACAGAAATAACTTAAAATGATGTTTTTATAGAAACTAAAAAGTGTGAAGCTGGTAGAGTAGCGCATAACTTTTCATTAGAATCTCAGAGTGACTTATTGAATCTACGAACGATAGAACTCTTTTGAACAGAAAAAATTACCTACCCGTTGTAAGGATCCAACGAAATATACTCAACGTAATTCAACCCATTCGTAGTCATAATGGTACTGTTATTGCAGTTATTTAGATCACACCTGGAACCCAAGTATAACATTAAAAAAAAAGCAGTAAAAGTAGCGTAAAGTAAAGACATGAACAATCATTATAAATTCAGATCAAGGATAGAGCTTAACTAAGATCTACAGGTGTAATCTGTTCCTTGTATTATTCAAAATTATCGATATACCTCAAAATACCCTTCTTTTTCAGTACTGCATACAGCTTCTCCTGCATATGGTCAACGTCCATATGAACAACCGGTGTGTCATCTGGCGAACGTAGTAATGTTGGCTTTTCTTCAGTACCGATATTCATCCAGTAGATACTACCGTCACTAAGCCCAATATAAAGGCGTTCCCTTGAGGAGGAACATAAAGCTGAAAGAAGAGCTTTATACTGAAAATGTTTCTTTTAATTTAAAACTGTGGAATTATAGTTTTCCATCTTGACAAAATACCCAACTCAAAATTATTATGTCACTGATTGCTCAGTTAAGCGAGTACCTGTGATAGACTTTTTTGAGAGGATTTCAAACGGTATCTTTTGCGGCGGATTTTTTACAGCGTAATCGTCAACATCATGAAGTTCCAACAGGTAAGTTCCATTCGTAAAAACCAGTCGTGGAGAGGTTTTTGGGGTCACAACTGCAAGAAAACATGCAAAAGCAATTAAAACGGTTTAGTTCGCAAAGAACTCTTGTATATTTAAATTCATACTTATATTTATATTTATATTTATATTTATATTT